CCGTTAATGTGCCTATTCTCTTCTTGCAGATGATGCGTGGGGGAGTGAGACTGAGTGGGAACCACGGGAGGCATGGTTGGAGGGAAGCGAGAGGGAAGGAGAGGAAGAGAACTTCAGGGATCCCGCTGGCCTGGAGGAAAACAAACCTGGGCAGTGGAAGCGCCAGCCCCTTCCAAGCCACCTCTACGAGATCTCGGCCGACCAGAAAATGCGCCTCGAACAAAAACTGAGCACATGTGCCGTGTGCGGGAAGGGCTTCAGCCGCAAATCAAACCTCCTTCGTCACCAGAGGATCCACACGGGAGAAGAGCCCTACAATTGCCCCGACTGCGGGAAAACGTTCCGCTGGAGCACCAGCCTCCATGCCCACCAGAGAATCCACACGGGCGAGAAACCTCACGAGTGCCTCAAGTGTGGCAAGAGCTTCAACCACAGCCAGAACTTCGCCCGGCACCAGAGGCTCCACCGAGGGAAAAAGCCATACCAGTGTGTCAAGTGCGGGAAGAGCTTTCGGTGGAGCTCGAATCTGGTTATCCACCAGCAGATTCACGCTGGCGAGCAGCCGTTCAAGTGCTCGGACTGTGGGAAAAGCTTCAGCTACAAATCCAGTCTCAGCAGGCACCAGAGGATCCATGGGGGAGAGGACGAGAGGTACAAATGCGCCGTCTGCCCGGCGAGCTTTGCTTTCCAGTCGAGCCTAATGAGGCATCAAAGTCTCCACGTGGGAGAAAAACCTCATCAGTGCCTGGATTGTGGGAAGAGTTTCAATCAGCGGCAGAGCCTTCTCGCGCATCAGAAAATCCACACGGGCCAGAATCGTATCAATGGCCAGACTGTCAGGCCAGATGCTGTTGCAAGTGAAGTCTTAATGGACAGCAGAGAATCTGGGCAAGAATGACATGGTGGTTTAGGGTGGGTGCATAAAACTAGGAGCCTGCACAGTCCCCCTCCATGGTGGGCTGAACCCGACTTCTTTTTACCTGTGTTTTTTGTGAATGCTGGATTTCTTTCTTTTTCATCTGTTTTGTCCCTCTTCTTGTGGTTTCATTCCCCTTCTAATACTTTTATTGAAACTCCTGTATGTAAGATTATGTTTTAATAACTGTATAGTGCCAGCGCTTGGGATTTTTGAATTCTTCTTTTTTTT